AAGTTCTAGGTAGGTTAGGTTTTGCTGGGTTCACCACACCAACTTCATAACAAATATACACTACACTTGTGAGACTTAAGGATGATATGAAAGAACAAGCTGCACTAAATCGATATGAACAGCCTCCGCAGAGTCTAGACGCGAAACTGCCAGCTCGCATAGTTTACGACTTACAAGCCACGTCGCATTGCGGGAACAGAAGCATTCTTATTCATTTATTTATCCATATTGCAAAGACCCCAGTAATATTATTAATTACACAACAATGTAAATTGTCGCTGTAAGTAGACATAACAACAACATTGAAGATGCAGCTACCGGCAACTACCTCAAAATGTTCAGAAAGCATCAAAATTATTTGATAGTCAAGAACTACAGGAAATTACGAGAAAATTAATTCTGGAGCGGCAGGCGGACATATTGAAACTCAATACTCCCGCCTCCAGCACGTGTTTATCCCCACAACTAATCCAAAGTTAGTAAGCATAATCTGAGTAAGGTGAAAAAAGACGGAACACCAAAACTAATCTACTTTACCAGTAACACGAAAAACGCTCAACGTAACACCACACACTAGCACTTTACACGTTTTGCGGAAAATTTTAATTTCACTCTCTTATTCACGGCCGCTTTTCCAAATACGGAATTTGAATTTTGAATTTCGGAAGCCGTATACAATGTGCCCTTACCAAGTGAACGTTTGGTTACCGCGCGGTCGGTTGCGATGATTTTGGGAATGCCGAAGCGGCGGTTTGCGATGGACTGAGGCGGGCGGGCGCTTCGGCGGCGATCGGCTGCTTTCGCCCACCTTTATATTTAGAATTTGGCTCTCTCCCCGGTTTTATATAGCAGTGAGTACATCGCGTATAAAGCGTATTCGAGATGCGGTCGTCGTGTGAGTATATATATAGGAATTACGACTTTTTTTATTGAGTGGATTTAAAAATTTGCATGCCATCCAACGATATGGGACGACTGCAAAAAGTTTGGGCGGGCGGACTTATTAGGCGAAATTGCTTCCGCTATGAAAGCTAATAAATCACTTTCCATCTAAAAATATCGATAATAAACTTTAAAGTGATATTATCTATCCAAATGATTCTCCGGAGTTCTGAAACGATTTAGACTTTATATCAAGCAAGTATTTGGCCATAACCTAGGTGGGAATCTTTCTGATTCTCACCGGGTTCGTGTACTAATTATTATTATAATGGTGCACAAAGTCTTTCGGTGGTAATTATTTCCACATCTAGAAACTTATTATTTCCAATGCTTTTCTTGATCTTCACTCCGCACTCGTAAAGATATTTTATAGAGCTTCCAGTTTGGTAACATTTGTAACCCCTAATTCAACTCAACAAATTATTTCCGTAATAATACATAGTCGTAAAGCAGACATTGCATAAGTTCATCTATATTTGGATGTGTTGATCTTCTACTGTGACGTCCAATTCATGTTGGTATTTAATGTTTCTCTAATCAAATTAGTAACTGTTTAAAAATGCTAATAATAGTAAGTCTGCATTTCCTTGTCCAGTGACTGGATCTCTTTATTCAGTACACGTAACTTTCAAATTCAAATTCAAATTATAAATAATCTTTATTTCATAGGTAAGCATTATTACACTTGAAATCGTCACAATGGTTAAACTCTACCGCTCATTCGTAAGGCAGATTCCCCTGAGAAGAATGAGCAAGAAACTCTAGGGGTTGCTCTTTGTAAATAACATTTACAATATTTTTTTTTTATTTGAAACATCAGAGATCGAGACTACCTCCATGAGCTAAACGGGTTACTACCACGGATTTTTGTCATCCAAGTACGCAGAAGTTGTATAATAACCTTTAGTATAAAGGTTTTGTTTCACTATAGTTTTAAACCTCGTGAAAGGCAAATTTTGTATATCAACCGGAATCTTGTTATAGAAGCGTATACTTTAATGATTTTACCCTTAAATGATTTTTTGACTTTGTGAAGACGACTATCAAGAAAAGCTAGTTTATTTCTATTCCTCGTATTAATGTTATGTCTGTCACTATTTTTCATAAATAAATTACTATTCCTTTTAACATAAATTACATTCTCATAAATGTACTGTGAGGCTAGTGTAAGAATGTTAATTTCCTTAAACTTATCTCTCAAAGATACTTTGGGGCCCAGATTGTAAATTGCCCTAAACTCTACCTCGTATAAGTAAAGAAAAGCTTAGTGATTAAATCTGGATATCGATGGAGAGAAGCATGCATATCAATATTTTTGTGCATTACTGATACTCATATATGGTTTTCTAGGAGAAGGATGCTGGAGAAATTACAGGCACATGGGACTTCGTAACTTATCGTCGCCTTATTTTCTCAAACTCCTATCTTAAAGCATAAAATTGCTGAAATGTTCATATTCATAAAGTAATGCATAATACGAGAAAGTAAAAACTTATTACGCGCCGCTCGGCTAGTGTTGTGTGGGGTCATGGAAAAATTTCCATTTTGAAAAAATCATATTTTTCAGAAAAATAAATATTTTTCCTGCATTTTTCCACATTTGACCAGAACACCTGTGAAAAGTTGAAGATACTGAACTCTACTATAAGAATTTGTGAAAATAAGTCAAGCAGGGCCTAGAAAATTACATTTAGCAATGTATATACAATTTTGTTTTATGATTCATGCTAAATTTTTATTTTATTTTATTTACTTAATTATTTCATATTCACAATAAAACATTAAAATGTTTATCTGAATGTAGAACATTAATATGAGTCTTTGAATTATATTTTTCCAATTTTTCGGAAAATTACTCAACGCTACCCTCAACTCCAACCTCCGGGTAGGGGACTTCCCTAAGATCCTAGGGGAATTCCCTAAGAATATTTATTCTTAACTGTTCTATCAAAGTATACATAAAGCTAATTTGTTAGCGATTACATAATAAAATTTTTTTTAGGAAAAACAATCGTTGTTGATTGACGACCTTGGTGGCCCAACAGTTTGCGCTATAGGTACACTGAATGCGGAGGTCCCGGGCTCGGCTCCCAGTAGGACCAATTTGGGAAATAAACTTTCCTAAATTGATTCTGGTCTGAGTGTTCGGGGAAGTGTTACAGAGTGAGTTGTATTGCTCTGGTACTCATAATACAGGGATTGCGTTTGACACCATTAGCGAATTGAAAACATTACAGAGTACAAAAATTCTACTACATTAATAGATATTGTACAACAATGCTATGCTAAACCGGAAATATGTCGATTCAACTAATTCTGTATGAAAAGCAGTTCCTGACGTATACCACTTCAATCTCAATATAGAAGATAGTACGTACAAGAGATAGTAGTAGCTGCAGCAGTAGAGGTCCTTGTGAAAGAGTTCGTCCAGGGAAGTACTGCCACCTTACCTATTTCTGCCGCCAAGCAGTCGTGTGAGCACTAATACGTTCCGGTTTAGAAGGGTAGTGATGCTGGTGAAATTATAGGCACATGGGTCTTGTCAATTCAGTGTGTCAGGCACAGTGGCAGAGCCCCTAAGATCTTTGCAATTAAAAGCTCTAAGTGGCACTGCAACTGTTGTGGACAGGCGTGTCGCTTACTACTAGGCAGTTCGTCCCGTCACTTGGTATTATATAAAAAAAAACCTAAGTTTTTGCGCCTGCTTTGTAACTCCTCGGTGTAATATTACATATTTTATCGTTCAAAAGTAGGAAATCGTCTTCCAAACTTTATTTAGCGGTTTTGAACTTGCTCTAACAAAAAAATACAATAAATTACAGATTTATAAATAACTAGCTAATGCCCTTAGTTTGCGAAGAATAAGTAACTACTTCGAATAGCCTATACAAATACAAATTTTCAAAGTTTTATTGGTTTTCCATGCAAACTTTCATCTCCTATTTCACTGCCTTTAAGATTTATTTTTGTGACTAAAAGTAGCCTATGTCTTTCTCCTAGGTTCCATCTATATCTACAACAAAATTCATCAAAATTGGTTCAGTGGTTTAGGCGTGAAAACGTAACAGACATACAGAGTTACTTTCGCATTTATATTATTATAGTACCGACAGTCCGACACGCTATGAGGGCCGTCTTGACGTTTGTCCGCTCATCATACTACGTTGAAGGAGCTATTTGATGTACATTGTCGTTAATGGTGACGTGCAGTAAAATTTATGGATGAATAATTTTACGACACGACTTTGTTTTTCGAAATTCGAAATTTTTAAAAATGTAATCTAATACGATCGCTGTCCAGCATAACTCAGCTACCTCTTTCAATACTAGTTATAAATCTAAAAACTTATAGATGCGACTCTCATTTGATTATATTTTGTTCGATAATGAATTGAGATTTGACCGCACTCGCACTATTGTAATCTGTCAAAACGGTCATCATAGCGTGCCGGTACTGTAGTTTGGTTTTATGAATTGTTTTTAGGATAGGATTTTACAATGTATTACAACAATTATTTGAATTATTCCAGCATTTCACATTAACTAGATAGCGCCAGGCGGTCTAAGGGAGAAGGACTTAAAAAGCATACTTATGATTATTCCTTAATAATTAGTTATGCTGCTGCTGTAACGTCCCGGTCGTGACAGAGTTATAAGAATAAGAGAGGAACAATTAAAACGGTTCTTAATAGAAATGAAAAGAAAAAAACACAAAAAGTTCTTACTTATTCAGAAAAAAATAATGTAATGGTTAATTGTAAGTCAATGAATGGTTAAATAAAATTTCCAATTGAACATCAAATAGTTTTCTAATGGTAACAAAATGTGAAATGTCAAAATTCCATGTTTTTTTTAAATTTGTACGACCAAAACTAATCATAAAGTGTTATTGCACAACCACTATTCTCGTACATACGGTATATTTCAAAATATCAATTTAGTGTTGTTATGGTATCATGTACTTACTACTGAGGCTCTTTTTGCGTGTACTGTCAACTCAACAATACAAACATCTATTATTTTGTTGATTTTTTAACAATATTATTCTTATTGCGCTTAGGACTGTTTATAGATCAGCAAAAGTAATTAGTATTATAATGTACAATTGATTATTAAATAGTGTTATGTAAAAACAGCGACCACATTGTGTTTTTTCTGTTTTTGTGGTTCGGAAGAAATGTTTAATCCTGATTTAAGTGATTACCAGCTCACCTCTATTGTAACAGAATGTTGCGGGGGTATGGCCGTTGTTTACTCGGCTCTCTACAAGCCCGATAACCAGAATGTGGCCATTAAGCGGTATTTTGTCGATAAGTCGAAGGAAAATGCGAATTTGATTCAGGTAATTATTTTGTGTCAGTGTTTACAAACTTGCTTTCGAATGTGAAATTAAACCTCTTCTTCTTAATAGGCATGTTGTATTGGTTTACCATTATCATTTATATACTTTACTGTCTCTACTGGACCTGGGTGTCCTCTACAGGGAGAGTGTAGGTCATACCCACCGCGCACTTCCAATGCGGTTTGGGAACTTGGCACATTCTCTAAAGGCTGTAGGTTCTCAACTTACTACATAGCACCCTTACCTTTTGAAACCAGAACACAGTTCCAGAAGATGCAGTGTGGGCAGATCACCCAAAATGTGGACAGATGACCTTGAGAAAGTTGTAAGAATCTGCTGGCTGCAAGTAGCACAAAACCAGTCATTGTGGTGTTCTTTGTGAGAGGCCTATGTCCGGCAGAGGAAGTCTTTCAGTTGAAATGATGATGATGAACTTTTTCTGCTTTAATAGGGTATTTCACATACATAAGTTATGTCATTTTTATTATTTTTATCATTTTTATCAATTTTATCAATTTTAATGTATGAACCAGTGATCGGTTCGCCAATATCCCAGGATTCATATTACAATATCAGTGTATATAAAATTTAGACAATTAATAAAATTTATGTAGGCATTTTCAGTTTTATTTGGATATAATTGAAAAATTATACATATAGTCATTGACTTACAAATAAATGGACGACGTATCTAATACAAAAACCACGAAAAAAATGTCCCAAGTCAACCTATTTAAACATAGTGACATATCAAGGAATATGAAAAAGCTAAAATGTTGAATTTAAATTGTAATGTCATCGCAGTACTGTCTAATTTTGCTTGCTTCGCTGTCAGTCGAACAAACGAAGACTAGAGCGTGAATGACGCTCTGTATACGATTTTAACGCCCTATAAGTTCGGACACTTTTTAGCGCGGACCCGACGTCCATATAATTGTAAGTCGATGCATATAGTATAATAATTACAGTGCTTATACATACTAACTTACTTACTAAAGTAATTGCTTTCCCAAAAGGAGGAACCTGATACAAAAAAATTCAGAACTATTTGTGAATTCGTGGACTTTATAAAAATTCAACACAGCTTTGATATAGGCATATCAGCTTCAAGCTGCTCGCCTATTAATAATAAATAAATAAAAAAAAACAACCTAACTGCCTCTATGGCTGAATGATAACGAAGCCGGTCTGCCACACAGAGTTTGTTTGTAATTTGTGGTTGTCTATGTGTGTGTCCATGACACAGGGTTTCCCTAGTGCAGGGCTAAGTTGAGTGTGTGCATTTTTATTATTATTAATGTTGCAGATTGACATTTGAAATTAATTTAGTTTCTGAACAAAGGTAAATGTACCAAAACCAACTCGTGCAAAGGAGTAATATGTCTAAAATTGGTGGAATAAATATAACATCCTTAAAAAAAATTCAATACTTCTCTAGACCATGGGAAGATATGTGTTTGGAAATAAAACTAACATTGTTGAGCAGTCTTACCAGCTGTTGTTATGTTAAAAACCAAGATGTGAAACAATAGAAACTGTCAATATTTGATAATGGCGATAGCAAATTGATCTTATTTTTCTACTGTCTAAAAGAGAAAGTAGTTCTTTCTACAATGAATATGGTGTGCAAAGCACTCTTGTAATAAAATTTTTTGCTAAACAATGAGGTATAGAAACACAACAATAATTTTATTTATACTCATTGGAAATAATTTTTCACCAACATACTCAAATTCGCATATTCAAATGTAATAAGTTCCGAAATTTGAAGTAAAAAATGTTAAATGATAGAATTATTCTTTGCGTTACATGGATTTTAGGTTAATGCCACTCCCTGGGCTCCAGTATATCAATATACCAATATGTATAATATGAAATTTATAATTATTATATGTTTATAATTTAGAGTGTCTACGTGACTCCTGATTGCATAAGACGATTACATTTTTGATTGCCATAGACATTTTTTTTATAACATCTAGTATGAACAAGTTGTGCACATTTATTTCTCTTGTGAGTTTGTGTGTAATTTGTGGTTTGTCTCACCATGACACCCACAATACAAGGTTTCCCTGATGCAGGGCTATGTGCATTATTATTTTTTTAAATTTATTTATAGTACAGGGAATTCCTAGTTAGAGAACAAGTAATCGGCTTGGTTGTCCGGCACATAATTACTATCTCGAGTAAAATTAAAAATCCCAAACTAGGCCTAGTCTGAGGTGTATGCCATAATTGCTTGTGTGGATTTAAACCTGAAGAGAGGCTGCATTAACAAGTATATTTACATAAACTCAGATAGTCAAGCGGCGCAATATGCACTCGCCTCAGTCACCCAAACATCGAGGATAGTAGAGAACTGTGTAAATATACTGAATACTCTCAGGGAAAGTAATACAGTGGTCTTGTGCTGGGCTCCGGCCACTCTGACATTCAGGGTAATGAATCAGCAAATGAACTGGCAAAGGCTGGTGCTAGGGAAACCTTCATTGGACCCAAACTCTTCATAGGGATAGCATATAGCCTGGCAAAGCTCACTCTGCTAAATGAGAGCACACTCTCCCGAGAAGTGTGGCTACAGAACAAGAGTCTTGAGCATTCACAAACCCTGATATCTGCCTACAGTGCCAAACACTGTAGAGAAGCTCTGTATTGGACAGGAATGGCATAGGAATGCTCACTAGAGCGTTAACAGGGCATTGTGCAATATTGGGCAGAGAGATAATACAGAATGTAAATTCTGCCACAAGACGAATGAAACTCCTGTTCATCAACTCACCCAATGCTTCCCCCTGATAGGAGTATGTAGTTCCATATTGGAAAGGCACATGCCACAACCAGAGGACTCTAAATCTGTCAGAGCCAGGAAAGTCCTTCAGTTCTTCAATGCTGTCAGCCTTGGCTCTGGACTGCAGTGGTGATCACAATAGAGCAGTTGATGGTCGCAGTGATGACCCTAATAATCCACCCTAATAATCCACCTTAATAATCCACCCTAATAATAATAATAGTTGACCTAGGCTGAATTGTCTTCTACATTTGACTTTTGTCTTAAAGTGTATTTTTTTACTTTTCAAATGGCGTTATTAATAATTATAAAACATTATTTCTTTTTACTTTCTATCTTGCTTCATTTCTATCTTGGTTCATCATTCTTACTGGCATTTGAATTAATGACTAAATACATATTTTCTTTTTTCCACAGCAAGACATTTTAACACGAAAAGAACTGCAGCACCAAAATATTCTCCCATACCTCACATCATTTGTGCACGGCCGAGAACTCTATGTTGTATCTCCGCTTATGAACCTGGGTTCCTGTCGGGATATCCTGGACCAGTACTTTCACGAGGGACTTCCAGAACTTGCCTGTGCTATTATATTAAGAGATGTACTACAGGCATTACAGTATTTGCATAAGCAACTCTACATACATAGGTAAGGGTTCAATGTCTGTTGAAAATAAGTAAACTAGCCTTACCCTAAACCAGTTACAAAAGCTACATGTATAAAAGCAGCATTTTAAAATCAGTTGTAAATGTTTCATGGTTGATTAAAGTACATGAGATCCATGAATACCACACAACCACAGTATTCGTGGATCTCACAATAAATACAGTAGAAGCGCTTAGTTTGCTTGCCAACAGTTCGGAGTACCGCGAATTTGACTTCAGTTCGCTATTTTCGCTTTGTACGGTATAGTCATGCCAAATACATAGTTGCTTCTTTTAGAGAACTAAGTAAGCATTCGAATTCGTCGTCGTTCAGATATTAACCGCTAGATGGCAGCACATTGATTGAAATTTCAATATAAAATCAAAACGTAACTTGCAATAATAAGTATGGAGCTTTCAACGACACAGGATAAAGTTTAAATTATGTCAACAGTCCAGAATTTCTTATTTCTTTTTAAATTTGAAACTATGAGATTTTATAATGTTTCAAATTATGAATGTGTGAGTTAATATATATTAATATGAGTCGTCGCTAAACGAGGGTTCTGATAATAATCGAGGCTTAAGGCACATTGTTTTTTTTCCATAACGAGAAGCTTGAAGCGTTAACACATTTGGGATTTAACTTGTTTAAATGAACAATTTTCCACGTAAAGACAACGGAACTTATTGGATGCCCAAAATGTATGAAACAGAACTGCTTATAGTCTCAAATAAGACCGATTTCTAGTTGACAAAAAAAAACATATTAAAAATGTTTTTCTCTCTTTCCTGTCAAACAGAATCCCATAAAAGAGGGATTATTGTCTTATGATGTATCATGATTATCATACTTATACTTGTCTAACAAATGACATAAACTAATATTGGTTATTTTTCTGTGATCCAATTAGAGTTGAAAAGAATATTAAAAATCTATCAGATATTACAAAATGGATGCTGATAAACAACAACTATCAAAAACAATTTTGCGTTGTTTTTGATAAAATTTACTTGTAAAATGAAATCTTTTGCTGTTGTGACCTTAGGAATTATGAATTGTTGTGATTATTACTATAATTCCCCAACAAGAACAAGCACAACAACAGCTAATTTCCTAAAGTGGTCGTGGGGCGGTAGGGGTCTCGGAAACAATAGGGGGTAGTAGACGCTGTCCAGGGGGTGCAACCGCATTTGAAAAAAAAAACCTATATTATCTATATAAACTACACTACAATTATTTTCCCCGGGATTTTTTTGTGTTAAGTTAATAACAAAAAATACGTGTTTGTGGTTGTGAGCGTTACAATTTTTTTATCTTGCCTAAGTGGGCGGTGCGCCAAAAAGTTTGGGAACCTATGGTTTACACGTTGTTGCTTATCAGCATCCAATTACAAAATATACTACAGAATGCCTTAAATCGCCGAGTTACACGTTGTACGTGTGCGTCGCTAAGCCGATTGGAAGGCTAGGTAGTATGTAATTAAGTAATAGGTATAATAAGAAATTTAATAATTGTTTATCTACTAACACAATACTAATATAGTTATAAGGTGTGTCATGTTACTAACATACTAATTTGTATGGACTTTGTATTTTATTTTAATTTTATTATTAAATGTGGAGTTATAAATTGTCCTCATACTACGCCTCGTCCTTCCTTACTTTTAAATACAATAACCCTGTTCCAGGAGCGTACGCGCCAGTCACGTTCTCCTGAACACAAACGGCAACGTGCGCTTGTCGGGTCTGCGCAGCGCGGGCAGCCTAATGGTGCGCGGGCGCAGACAGAAGCAGCTCCACAACCTGCCGCCACCCGACAGCGACAACGCCAACTTGATGTGGCTCAGTCCAGAATTATTAGAACAGGTAATTGGTTTAAAAATTACCAACTACCATGTGATATACTAAACCACAGGTCAAACGTCAAACTTTACACCGCCAATTTGAATTCGATGTTAATGATACGTCATATACATTGAATTCAAATTTATAGTTGAAGGTACTACGTAAACAAAAGAAATACCATATGCAAAGTTTATAATTTTTTATATTAATAATTTTACCCCGACATGGGCACTGAGCCTGTAAATTATAAGCTAATTATATTGGCTGTATAACTAATGTGACCATTATTTTTTCTCTCATAGCAGGACGCTTGTAAATTTATTATTGTTTGAACAATAGAAAACATGTTTATAACAGTTACGAAATGTTTAATGATAAAAAATATATGAACTAAAATTGTTTAATGAATCAAAAATTTAAAAAAAGAACTAATCTTGTCTAGTCTGGGGTCGATGTGTAGTTGGTTGGCTTTATACTATATTGTCTTTCGTTGTCGCGCCATTTTTTCAAATTTATTGTTACGTGTGTTCTGTTTTGTGAAAGCGGGACACTTAAGTATTTTGGGGACAGCGGGACACGAAGCCTAAAAGCGGGACTGTCTCTCTCAAAACGTCAATGTAAAATATTATTTTTTTATTGTATCCTTTACAAGAAAACCTGCATCCAATACTGATATAAAGTGTACCGGATCATTCCATGATGGTCACGATAAAAAGGAACAAATTATAATTTTTATTTGAATTGATTTTCAATTATTTTTTATGTGAAATTACTCCACTAGTTTGTTATAATTATTAATACAAAGATCGAGCACTCAGAAAAAAATCCTACGATCCGGCCGGATTCGAAGCGACGTCTTCTACAGCTTCTAAGCCACTGAACGAACCTGCGAACCTCACGTTTGTTGTCGTGTCTTTGTATTTGGTTTTTTCAACGACTTAGCTGTAGCGCCATCTATGACATCTCGGTCTGTTCGGCACGGTATGCTAGAAGACGTCGGTTCGAATCCGGCTGGATCGAACGAATTTTTTCTGAGTGTTCGATCTTTGTGTTAATAATTATAAGGAACAAATTTTTAATGCCTACTAATAAAAATAAATCAGGTGCTCATGACTTCTGGCTTTTGCTGCCTTGGTCCTGCGTGCTTTGTGACCACCCTTAGCATCACTATATTTCTTCACCAGAACCTAAAGGGCTACGACGAGCGATCCGACATCTACTCCCTGGGCGTGCTGAGCTGCGAGTTGGCCAACGGGGCTGTGCCCTTCGCGGACGTGCCAACGACGCTCATGTTCACGGAGAAGGTACGCGGCAGCCGCCCGCAGCTCTTGGACTGTTCCACCTTCCCGGAGCCGTGTCTTGACGATGGTGAGATGAAGAGTGAGTACAATACTTTGTGCCTTCTGACACAGGCTATGCTTAAAAGGAGGCTCCAGCCACTATTGTTTAAGAAACCATGTTTTTAAAGAATAAAGATTTTATTTTTATTTTTTTTTTCTTTGTGAAATCGGAACAACTATAGTAACTCCATAAAAACGTGGCAGCGCGGCTTGTATGCGTGCGCGCCCCGTATTCCGTACACACTTGCAATCTAGCGATGCACTAGCGTTGCATATCGCGTGGCAATGGTTGTCCCAACACGCCTTTAATTGTATTATTGAAATTATTTGTGAAATTACTCCACTACTTTTGTTATTATTATTAATACAAAGATCGAACACATACAATAATTTCTTCGACTTGGTAAGACTTGAACCCATGACCATGCTGCACCGTAGCATTGCTCTTACTAACTGAGTCAAGTTACCGACCTGTCGAAAATCTCCTATGTGTTATTGATATAGATCTTTGTGGGTTTCGTCATTCGTCGCCGCCAGTGACATCTAGTGAGAGATTTTTGAAAAAACTTTGAATTATTATGCGAATGTGTGCGTCTTTATATGGCGCGCGGCGGTTGCGCACACATACAAGCCGCTCTGATATTTTGTACGGAGTTACTCTACGTGTTTTATTCTACTATGCTTTCGTGGTTGTTCATTAAACAATCAGCATTGGTAACTTGCGAGAACTGTCTGGTGACGAAACTAGTAGACTTGTTTTTGGTTCATTCATTAGTATTAGAAATCAGAGTAGTTAAATATAAATAAATGTATTTTTAATTTTTTATTATTATATCATGTATAGTAAAAAAAACATCTGTTAAACCCTGTTCAGATATAGACGTTATTCCCTAACACAGTGGGTAGCGTTCTGGTACTTTTCTACCGGCGAGGCGTCAAGAGACGAGGAGAGACGAGAATTGAAATCACGTCGGCTTATTTCCCACAGAAAAATACGCGGCTGAATCAACATGTCCCGTAAATTATATTGTATTACGTTAATGCAATAAGAATCACATGAAACCATCGTTTTTAAATCTCAAATCGTACGTACCCCACAATCTTGCGATTGAAATCGTGTTTCCATTAAACAGTATAATGCTCTATGTAGGCAGCTAAATGATTCAATATTACATCAACAAACATTTCAATTCTCGCCTCGCCCATCCTCGTCAATCCAAAACTTTTCCACCGAAGAATCTCGAGGACAGAATTGAAATTTTGCCATACAAATTTCTATTCTCATCTCCTTTACACGTGTGGGCAAGCGGTATTCCTCCTGTTCACACCTAAGCGGATAACGCCGTGCGTAGCGGAACTTGATTTTCAGTCGTGTGGCGAAACCTCTTTACTTAAGTTACCTATTTATTTATTTTTGTATTTCGTTTCTGTGTAGAATAAAAATGCAACAAAATGTTCCTTTTTCTCTAAAACATTTCAAAGTTCGTACATTTCAAAGTTTCACCACTTTATAGAATAACCTTTATGTGATGGAAGGAGACGAACACAACGTATAATAGGCTTACTTGTTAGTGATTGGCTGAGATCGAACATACTCCGTATTATCAGGAACATGTTACTATATGTATAACCATTGACTTACAATTATATGGACGTCGGGTCCGCGCTAAAAAGTGTCCGAACTTATAGGGCGTTAAAATCGTATACAGAGCGTAATTCACGCTTTAGTCTTCGTTTGTTCGACTGACAGCGAAGCAAGCAAAATTAGACAGTACTGCGATGACATTACAATTTAAATTCAACGTTTTAGCTTTTTCATATTCCTTTACATGTCACTACGTTTAAATAGGTTGTCTTGGGACATTTTTTCGTGGTTTTTGTATTAGACCCGTCGTCCATTTATTTGTAAGTCAATGTATATAACTACGCGTTTAATAATGAATATTATGAATACTATTTTTACGTGGTGGGGTACGCGCGCTGTTTCGTATAGTCTTTTGACAATACGTGGAAAATTTTAGGCAAGCCGGTGGGAAGCGAGTTATATGGACGCCTCGCCATTGCTACACTACCAAGCTCATAAACTGTTTTTTCACTAAATGAAATAGACTTCCTTGAAAATAATTATTAATACAAAGATCGAACACTCAGAAAAAATACCTTCGATCCGGTCGGATTCGAACCGACGTCTTCTTGCATACCGTGCCAGACGCTATACCAACTAAGCCACGGAACGAACCAACGGACCTCACGAATTTTTCTATGTGCTTGCGTCGTGTCTTTGTACTTGGTCTTTCAGCGAGTTTTTAGTCGTAGCGCCATCTATGAGAAATCTATGAAATTAGAAATTAGAAATTAGAAATGACAGATTTATCACCCAGTTAGTACCTTTACAGCTACCAGTCCTGGCGAGAGATGTCACTATTCACTGTATTAGTTACATTTTTATTGAATTGATATTCAATTATTTTTTGTGAAATTACTCCAC